GCAGCCAATCAATGATTCTCTCGCATCATTGATGTTTCTATCCCCTCTCCCTTCCTCTCTGAAATCAATACAAATATATATTGAAAGAAAGAAAGAAAGAAAGAAAGAAAGAAAGAAAGAAAGAAAGAAAGAAAGAAAGAAAGAAAAAGAAAGAGTCACTCTCTAGCAGCCCAGTCTTCCCCCAAATCAGTCTCATTCCATGGTCTCAGACTGGGTAAGGATCCACCTGCTGGTCACCCCTCCTCTTTTGCATGCACAGTCCTGCACAGAAGAGGAGACAGGTGGCAGTGCACAGGCACAGAGGTGGTGCTGGGACAGCGCTGGTGAACCACTGCGCCTGGACTCACACATCCCCGTGCCTGGCTTCGCTTCCCAGCTCTACAGCTGAGCAAGGGGGTGTTCTTGGGCAGGTTACTAAAACTCCTTGTAACTTAATTTTCCCATGTATAATTGAGGATGGTAAAATTACCTACTCTGTAGAGTTGTCGTAAGGATTAAATGAGTAAGTACAGCTGAAGTTCTTCCAAGTGCCTGACACATCGGAAGCCCCCAGCGAATGGAGGGTAATATCATTAACATCATTAACCCTGTTCTCTTGGCACACTTGCCAAATCCATGTATTCTCTTCAGTCAGACTCTACATAAAACATTCTAGGTACATGCCCAGAGTCAGAGTTAAAATTTCAATTAACTTATGTTACAATAAACTAGCCTACTGAAGTGAATATCAAATTGACTTTGGGGGGAAGTTATTGTAATGAATTGAATTGCATGGGGTATCATTATCAGTAAAAAACAAAACAAAACAAAAAACGACTGTTCTTAACATTGTGCTATAGTTCTCTCTGTTGTGTGCCTGAACAAATTAGCAAGGGTTTTATATAATAGAGATCTTTTTTGTTTTTCTGTAGAGAAACCTGATCACTCATTGAACTTTTACAAATAAATAATTGGATTTATTTTAACATGATAATGTTACCACACATCATTTATTTGGGTAATCCTCTTTGTAATTATAATGCCACCAATGAGATATCAGGTTCTTTGTGGTTTGTTTGTTTGCTTTTCCCATGACTCAAGAAGGAAATACTCCTGAGGAGGAAATTCTGTCTAAATAAACGTGGCAATGGGTTGAAAGAAACTTGGTGCTCTTGGTGATGACATTATTGCCAATGTGCTCACATGGATTTCTTTGTCCTTTCATGTCCTCTGTTCATTCACTCATTCCTTTTTTAAAATATATATATATATATATATATTTTATTGATTTCAGAGAGGAAGGGAGAGGGAGAGAGAGCAAGATAGAAACATCAATGATGAGAGTCATTGATA